TGGCAGGGAGTGGGGACAGGTTGCGGCTGGCCCATGCGGGCAGGCGTGCCCTGCAGCATTGTCCAGGTAGGCAGGGGCTTAAGTCCCTATTTATTGCTGCCACCCAGCTGGGCCCCGCAGCCTCTAATCACCTCCTGCCGCTCTATTCCTGGCCCCTTGTGCAACTTCTCCGTGGTGGCAGCACCACCGGACAGGTCCGGCTGCTCGCTGCGCTCGGACTCGAGCCAACAGGATCTGGCTGGCAGCCTGCCTGCCTGCCTCCTGCCCTGTGCCTGCAGCATCCTGCCTGCGGCTCAGACCCCCCCCCCCCCCCCCCCCGCAGTGCCCCAGTTCGGGGACCCCCAGGCAAGAGGCTGTGCCCTGGAGGCTCCCTTGCCCCGGAGCTCACTCCCTGCCTGGCTGGAGCCCTGGGGAGAGCCAGGCAGCCCCAGCCAGCGGGTCCTGGAGGCTGGCTTAGCCCCGGAGGAGTTGCCAGCCAGATGGCACACGACACCGCTTCCAGCAGCGCTGCCTGGTCCCCTCCTGGGCCAGGCAGGGTTGGGATGCTGCGTGCCACCAGCATCCCCTGCTCCTCCTGCTGCGGTAACCCGGCCACCCCGGGGACGACGCTGTGACCTGCTGCAGGGAGCCCCGGCAGGACCCCTCCGCAGGGCGTCACAGCGAGGCCCAGCCAGAGCAGGAGCCGGGGGGGCTGCTTTAGCAGGGCCCCCGTGGCAGCAGAGGAGGGCAGGCAGGGCACCCCTCCCCACCTATGGCAGGTCCTCACATGCTGGGACCCGCCAGCCCAGGGCAGTGTCCCCGTGCTGCAGGTGAGGGCAGCTGCAGCCTTGCTTCATCCTCCACCACCTGCTGAGCATCTCCCATGGGCTGGTGGCATCACACAAGTGGAGGCAGAAGCCAGCCTGGGCACCCCAGCGTTGGGGACAGCCTCACTCCCCTGGGAAGCGACATGCTGCAAGAAAGTGACAGCAGCTGCCTGGGGCACAGGGGTATCAGGAGGGGACCGTGACCCATCCCAGGACAGCCTGGCACAGAGTGAGTAGCGATGATGGAGACAGAAGCTCTGCAGCCGGCTGTTGCCTGGCACAGGAGGGGAGCACACGGATCCAGACATTGGGATCTGACCTCCCCAGCCACAGCAGCTCCGAGTTCCGGGGCAATGGCCCTACACCCCCACCAAACTGAGTGATCACTCGGCCGGGGCCCCCAGGACTGACACCCACAGGAAGGTACCTGCACCCCTGCGGGCCAGAGTGTGCCGAGGTGGGGGGCTGCAGCCCCAAGGGGAGCAGGGCTGCCAGCCCCATAGGGGGCCATCACCCTAACCTGAGCCAGCAGGGCATCCCCGGAGCTCCACACGGTGGGGACGGCTCACCACGAGCAGTGGGCACAGCCAGACCCGGCAGCCACGGCACCCTGCACGCGTCACCGGAGCGGCGGGCACCATCCCACGGGAAAACCTCCCTCCCTCCGCATCCCAGCTGCGGGCAAGGGCCGGGACGCCCCGTCCCCGGGCACACGCTTCCTGCTCCTCCTCTCCCGCCGCCTACCACCGCTTTGCCATAAACACGGTAATTACCGGCTGCGATCGCACCGGCCAGGGAGGTGGGCGAGGGGAAGGCAGGGGTGATTCACCCCGCCGGCCCCACGTCCCCTCCGCCGGCCGGTAGCCGTGCCCGTCCCCGTGGTCTCCGGGACCCTCCAGGGCAGCATCCCGGGGAGGTGCCTCGTGTCACCCGGGCATTGGGCTGCCGGTAACTCCCGGGAGCCGCGGGGCTGCACCAGTCTCCCACCCCGCCGCTCCCTACCCGCTCCGCGGCCGAGTCCCCGGTACCTCCCGAAGCCCCAGGGGAGCGGGAACGGGGTTGCCCCCGTCGGCAGCAGCCCGGTGTACGGGCGGCACCGACCCCGGGCAAGGACCCAGCGGTTTGCAGGACGCGGCGTGCCGGGGGACACTGCCGAGCCCAAACCGGGGGCACCCCCCAACCCTGCAGCCCCCCCGGACACCCCCTCCCCGGGAGGAGCCGGGGACCGGCAGGGCTGGGCAGGACGCGCCGTGCACCCCGGCCCTGACCCCGCAACCCCCCCGGGACGGGAGCCGCGGTGCCTGCCAGCTCCCGGGGCCGCGCACCGGATCGGAACCCCCGGTGCCCGGGAACCCCCGGTGCCCGGGGACCCCCGAGAGCACAGAACGGCTCCCGGGGGTGTGCATGGGACAGCCCCCCCCCGCGCCCACGAACTGCGCCCCTCCGGTGCCCACCGCAAGGGTACACGGGACCCCCCCGGTGCCCGCGATTCCGGGAGGTGCCCGGGCGGGACGGCCCCGGCGGGCCCGGCCTCGCTCACCTGCTCGCTTGCGGGGGTTCCCGGCGGC